TAACAAAGAAAGAGGCAAAACGCCTAACCCGTTAAATAATAATGTCCGTGGATAAGCAATGCCCACAATTAGGGTTTAAACAAATTAAACTTTTTTTATTCGATTCGAGATTCGAATTCGATATTCGTGATTCGAATTCGAAATATTCGAATTCGAATTCGAATAATGTTTTATATTCGAAAGTTAAACGAATCCGAATTCGAATTTGTAGATATTCGATTCGAAATTCGAATATTTGATTCGTTAAAAATAATTATAAAATTTTTATAAATTATATATAGTATACATTTTGTTTATATATATATTGTTATATTCTTAATATTTTTATGACATAAAATTTAAAAACATCCTAAATTAACAAGTTTTTCTAAAAATATATGCAAAATAAAAATATTTTTTGTAATTATAATATTTTTTAATATAATTTTTTTTAAAATGAATTTCGAATCGAATCGAATATGTTCGAATATTTTAAACGAATCGAATACGAATCAAAAAATGAGTTCGTTAACGAATCGAATACGAATTCGAATCTTCGAATATCTTAACGAATCCGAATCGAATCTCTGAGTATTCCCTTTGATTCGATTCGTTTACAACCCTACCCACAATGCCATGTTGTAGCCACGGTCGAACTGCCGACGGCGGATCTTGAAGCCGTTGATACCCACTGGGACATTGATGAGCTAGGGTTGCCAAACAATCGACTGCAAAGTTGGACTCCCTATAACAAATAACAATGACTCACAGTAATTTCCCATTCTCTGCTAAGCAGTTCCCTAATCGCTCGAACCAAATTACCATGAACACCGAGGTTCTCTGTCCAATCCCCCGTCGCCATTTGCACTACACTCATGCTATCGACTTCGACCAGAACACGACGGACTCCCAAGTCCCAGGCTAACATCAATCCACGCAAAAGGCCCCACAATTCGGCTCCGGTGATGGAGCACTACTCAATATTTATCACGAACCCCCCGAGCCATCGACCAAAGGAGTCACGGCTAGGCTTCCAGTAGACGCCATCCCGGGGTTAAATCTTCTTTATTTGTTAATAAAGAAGATAATTTGAGCTCCAGTCGTTTATTAAACGAGACGAGCCATTTGGAGCCTTGTAAAGAAAATTAAATTGCAAGTCAAGCACTTACGTAGGAACCGTGTACTCAAGCCTAACAAATTTTAATGAAGCGAATCTAATTCGAGATTAAACAACTCGACTAGAATTCGAGCTTCAACAACTCGATCCGAACTCACGAAAATTTATTATCATACTTGTTACTACAGAAAATGGTGAAAAAAAAGGTCACAAAATTGAGTGAGACGACCTTAATGGTTAGACTAATCAACTTAGGCTTAATGGAGATGGGATTTGACTAAATTAATATGTGGTTGATTGATTGTAATTTGCAGATTAAACTCGACCCGGGTTTGTTTTCGTGGTAGTTTGTGTAGGATAATGTTTCACTTTTTTTTAACGTTAGTTTTTTTATAATTCATAAGATATAAATATCGTTCTCAATTTTTTTCGACACCAGTTGAAGCAAAAAAAATGAAGACATGTGATAAAATGAAATGAAATGACACCAGTTAAAAGCAAGGTTTCGAAAATTCAACCGGTCATCGAACCGGTGAAACTATTGGTTCAATGGTTCACTGGTCCAATCAGTAGTTGGACCGGTAATTAATATATATATATATATTTATATTATAGTTAATAGTAATTTAATATATATTATAAACTATAACATTATAAGTTATAACTATTGTAATTATAAAAATAAAATTAAAACAAAATAGTTGATAATCTTTTATAAATGCCTAACCAAAATAAAAGAGCAAGCCCCAAATTCGTTAACACACATGGCCCAACCCACTATCAGAACTCAAATCCATTTACTAACCCAATCAGCTTACAATACATCTTCAATTCTTCATCGTCTTTACTATCTCGCCACTCACATAAAGTAGACAAAAAAAAAATTGAAATAATATTCTTCTCCTCCTAATCTACAAACCACATCATGAATTTGAAGTTAAAATTCTCGTAAGGGCATAACACTGATAATAACATACGTAGAATATGATAAGATAGCAAAATTTGGGATCTTTTATCCTCGATTCAGAGTTTACGTTTGGATTTGGATCTTTTTAATTTTAATTTTCAGATCCACGGGGAAAAAAATTGCCCTTTTCTCAACCCGTTGGCCCGTTGGAACTGGTACCGGTTCACATGTCAACCCGGTTCTGGACCGGTTATCCGGTTCCGTTCCGATTTTGAAGCTAGGCGGGTTACATCATTGAACTGGACCGGTATCTAGGCCGGTTCTTAGTTGAACTGGTCGAACCGGCCAGTTCGGTCCGGTTTTCAAAACTATGGTTAAAAGTAAAAAGTTCTCCTCATTTAGGTGGTGATTGTTTATAGTTTCAATAGTAAAAAAAAAAACTAGTTTTTATTTGGTTTATTTTTAACTATAGTTAATTTTGAAAAAAAAGTGGTGTGGTTAGTTGTTAGTGGATATATTAAAATAATATTTAAATAAAATAATTAAAGTTGATTTGATGTAAAGTATGAGAAAAATGACTGGAAGTGATAGTTAGTTAGAATTATGTGAGTGGATGAATAGTGAATTAAAGTTGATGTGATGTGTAAGAATGATTGGTTGATATTATTTAATTATATTAGTAATATTGAAGATAGTGGGGTATAGTTAAATTTGAGTTTTGATTGGATTTTTTACTATTGAATTTATATACAATCACACCGTTACAGGTGATAAAACTAAAATTGAAGACAATGTGGTGTGTTTCGATACTAATTTATCTAATCTATCTCACAAATAGACATGGTCAAATCACGAACAGGGTCACAGCCCGACCCGACCCGACAGTCACAATTTAATGGACAGTAACCGGTCCATCATTTTCTATGAACCGGCCCTGAACTGCCGGGTCACCAACCCGCCGGTTTTTGGCCGGTTCGGCCCATTAAAAAAAATATATTCACCATAGTTTTTTGACACGGGACTCGGTCGATCTTGGAGCAGGAACCGGTCAGGGTGGGCTATTTGTATCGGGCAATAAAGGACTCGATCAAAATCCGGCCAAACCGGCCTTGACTCGACCGACTCGGGGCATTGACTCTGCCGGGTCAACCCAATTGACCCGACCTATGTATTTTTTTTATTTTTTTATTTTTTTTAAAAAATAAAACTATGTATGTATGTTTATATTGTAAATATTTATCAAGAGATACATATTATTAACACTTTAATGTACAAATTTTATACACAAAATATTTAATTTTGTTACTTTTATATATACTTATATGACAAAAATACTCTTTATAATTTTAAAATTTTAAAATTAATTATCCGGTTCAGCAATTGACTCGATGACCCGGAGACCTGCCTGGGTCGATTACCAGACCTAGTTTAAAAACTATGATATTCACAACACCACCGCCCGTCTTCCAATTCGTGGGTCGACCCGGCCCGGCCCGGACCACTGGGAAAAAAGAAAAATAAAGAATCAGAACCGACCCATATGACCAAAGTTCCAGTTCATGGAACCGCCGAAATCAGGGAGGTTGCGGGAGGTTCGGTGTCGAGTCGGCCCTTGGCCACCTCTACTCACAAACAATAAAATTTAAGGGACGGATAAAGTAGCACTTCGAGTGAATGGGCTATGAAACAATCGCTATCCTTTTTTGTCTCATTTCTCATATTTTGGTCTGTAAATGGAAATCTCACGGGCGTGATTGTTTACATATTTTATAGTAAAAATTTCAATTAAAATTCAAATTTAACTCAACTTTAACTCAACTCTACTATCTCCAATATTATCAATATAATTAAATACTATCAACCAATCATTCTTACACATCACATCAACTTTAATTCACTA